CACACTTACTGTGTGACTTTGGGCGAGTCACCCCATCACTCTGAGCCTTAGTTTTTTTCCACTGAAATGATAATCGTTATCAGTGGAGGCAGGTCATCTGCTCATTTAAACCTACATGAGTTCACCACTGGGTTGGTGAATGAGAGGGGAGGGCCGCTTGGTTGTCATCTCTTCCTCCCTCGCCATCCTCCTGTAACACCCACTGCCCCGGGGAAAGGGAGGCCCAAGCTAAGTGGGAAAGGGTTTTAAAATGGAGATGAACTTTTGCAACTTTGAATTGCAAAGACTCCTACACTGGTCTGCTCAGGGCAGTCACTTGGGCTAGGAACATAGCTCCCTGGGGAAGCCGTGTCCAGCGTGCTGAGGCCCTGGGCGTGTCCCCAGCACCAACACAAGGGGCAGAAGAGCCAATTTCCTCTTGATCGCTGACCCCAGGATTTAACTGGGGTTTGGTGGAAGGACTGGGGGGGACGGGGAAGTGCTGGCGGTGGACAGTGCCCGCCTTGGCCAACAAAGAGAGCGCCTGCGGGCTGCTCCAGCTCCCCCGACACCCTCGCCCTGCCCCCTGCCCCCTCTCTCCTGCCCCCTCTCTCCTGCCCTCAGGCCCTTCAACAACAACGTCATGAAGACTCACGAGCACATGAGCCTCGCTGTGGAATTCTGGCTACAGAAGGACCAGTTCGGCCGGAGGGACCTGGTGATGGGCGAGTGCCTCGTGGATCCCGGCAGCCTCCACACGACAGTCCTCACCGAGTGAGGCCCAGCTGCAGCCTCCCTTCCCCGCCTCCTCCTGAGTCCCTGTGCAGTGACGCCTCAGTCACCCCCTCAAAGCAGGCTCTGCCTCCCACTGGTCCAGACTGGTTCCCCACCTCCTCTGCCCCCTTCACCAGGAGGAACTTTGTAACCCTGAAATCTGATCAGAAGCCCAGCTGGTGCTCCAAAACCTGCCGTGGCTCTCCACCACCCTCGAGATGGAGAGCAAACTCCCAGACTCACTCAAGCCCCACCTGTTCTCGCCCCTGCCTGATTCTGCAGCCCCCCACCCTCCAGGCTCTCAAAAGGCCCTGCTCCTCCACAACACACCACACATCGTCATACCACTGTGCTTTTGCACATGCCAACCCTGCAGCCTCAAAGGCCTTTCCTGTCTTCTCTAAAGCACCCCCCCCACAATCGCTCTTTCATTCATATATATTGCTCAAGAATCCATAATGTTCCAGGTACCATGCCTATTACCCAGGGGCACAGAGGCAAAGATGCCAAAAATTAGAGCTTCAGGAAGCTCAGAGCAGAAGTCTTCCATCCTCAACAGACTGTCCCCTGAGGGCAAGATGTGCGATGATTTATCTCTGAAATTCCCGAAAGCTGAACAATTAAGAACTCAATGAATGTCTGCTCCTTTCTTCACTGAATATCTAGATTATGCCAGGCATTCCTAAGAGGACAGTGTGGAAAAAGACCAGGAACTCTGGGTGCTCTTCTAATATGGTTCTAACAGAATTTACACTTTCCTGCCGTGTGACCTTAGGCAAGTCACATAGCCTCTCTGAGTTCCCCTTGGGCTATTGCTGACAATAATAGCTCTTACATAAGACCAGAGAGGATTGAAAGTCTGTAAAGTGTCCTCACCACATAGAAGCTGGCGTGGGTGCTGCCAGATTGATCTGATCTGTTCTGGTGTCTCCCTCTCTTTCTAGGGCCATCCCACCCAGGATGAAACATTTTCTGCACAGCCTCAAAGAGAACCTGGAAAAAATTATCCCGCACCTGGTAGAAAGTCAGGTGAGTCTGACAAACATTTGCCCCTGGGCCTCCCGAGTCTGAGAGTCAGACAGATACATGAGCAACTGAGCAGAGCATTCTGAACCTTGGACTCTAAAACTGAAAAATCCCAATGAAATGTTCAGTTTAGCCAGTGCATCCTCGGGCAAGGAACAGGGCCTCCTGGGCCCCAGTGTCCCCGTCCAGCAAGGGGACCAGCATAGTCCTACCTCACAGAGCTGTCATAAGACCTGGGGGTTCAAAGCACC